CACCTTTTGAGCATTTTACATCCTTTCATTCATAAACAGAATCCTTAACTTGCATTACGTGCTTATAAAAGCCTTTTCGATCAAAGATGACTTGTTTGCGTTGATGGATTTTAGCTTCAAATGAGAAGAAGAAGTTTTTTTTTTTTTTTTGAATAAAACTTGTCTTGTTTGTGCATTATAAATCATCATTTATAATGTTAAATCATGAATTTTCATCAAATAAGTGGAGGCAAGAAAAAATGAATGAGTCTTCCTAAGTAAGACCATTTACTTGAGTCCAACTTCCTTTAAAACTCTTTGAGTTCATGAAATTCATTCAAACATGTCGCCCTTTATGAGCCAACTTTTGACAAATCACTTTTAAAAGAGATAATTTTTTTACAAAACTTTTACATGACCTAAATATATTTTTCTTGTCTAGCCTAAAGAAGGATAACTTTGAGGGTTGCATAATGATATTTGCATGATATATTTTGGCATTTGACCAAATGAATCAAACATCTTCACGAGTGAGATTACTTTCTAATGAACATCTTAATGATCTCCTTTGAATAATAAGATTTGCTTTGAAGAAAATGATTCAAACATATAATTTAATGCATAAAAGTCAAAACAAATAAAAATGATTTTATGAGAATTTGATGAAAATTTAAACACTAATTTGCAAAATCAAGTGCAAACATCAAAAGAAGATGAATTGTGAGCAATGATAGTGGAAAGCGGATAGTAAATGAACAATCATTATCGACATTTGAGGGCATATGACATGATCGGTTTCATATGTGAAAATAGAAAAAAAAAAGAAAAAGAAAAAGAAAAAGAGAGAGATGAACATGAGCAATGAATATGAGTAATGACAATGAGAAATAGATAATAAATAGGTGTATTATTACTAATAACTTGTTTAGCCCCTATTCGGGTTTTTGGTATTTCTTTTACCATATCAACGACGACCACCTCCATAAAGCTGCTCCCTCGGCCTCCAACAACCCTTCCTCACCAATGATAGTGATGGAAATGATAGGAGAAGAAGGAAACTAGGATAACTTGGACCCGGGTGACCTATAAAGAAGACCTAACTTCTTCCTTATTTTTCAATCAAAATAGACTAATGACCAAACTAAAGCTCTATCAAGTCCTAGGGATGTCCCTAGCTCGGTTTCAAGCCTAAAAAATCAACCACCATCACTAGAAGCGAAGTTAAAAAGGAGGCTGGATCCTCATCATTAATGATGTCCCTTCTCATGCAATGGTAATGAGCATAGTCACCACAACAGGAAGAGGAGGCTGAGATGAAGCCAACCCCACCTTTGACTCGCTAAATGGTGGTTGAATGAGTAAATGATGATGGCTAAAAATTTAGGTATGTTAAGGGGTAGTTCTGTTATTTTCTAACCTAAAGGCATTTTGGTCATTTTATAATAGACTTGGCTCATTTCAATCATTTCAACGACCTCTTCAATTTTTTATAACATGCAACTATTTTTTCTTCTTGATCGACTAAAATTAAATCAATTTTTTTTTTGAATTTGAAGAAATCAAAATTCACCTTAAAAAAGGCCTTTTAGTCATTTCAAGCTTTGACAAGAACTTCGCCATAGCTCGTTTGGCTACTAAGGTGAGTTCCCAAAACCATACTTTTTAATTTTTGTATAACTCATAAGTTAGCATTAATTATTTGTAAAAGTTAGTGTCATTAACAAAATGTATGAATTATAAATGTATTTGAGATTTGAAGTGTATTTAGATATGTCGTAACATATCTAACCCAAAAGTGTCCGAGATCCTAGGATTTTAAGGAGAAATAAGGTTAGTATCAATACTCGCGATGGAGTTAGGAGGACTAGAAGATGGTTTTTAATTCTAATGAATTATCTAGGGTAAATGTTGATCTTGCTATGCTCAATTGAGGATTCTTTTGGTTTGTGATATGATTAATGCGAACGGAATATTATGTGAATTATTCGTATAATGTGGCTTTTGAATGTGGTAGTCATGATGTGTCATTTGCATGTTTACTTGAACTAAATGTCTCGTGCATAGAATGTGATTAATTGATCGAGGTTAGCTTTGAAAGTTAACTTCATATTTATGGTACATTAAATTGTGATATGTGCGAATGCAATAAATTTATCGAGGTTATCTTCGAGAGTTGATGGCGCATTTATGTTGAATTAAGTGTGGTATGTTGAGTTTGTCGAGGTTAGCTCCAAGAGTTAACACTATGTTTTATATAAGTAAATATGATACCTAATTTTGTGTCACGGGTTTTAGCCGTCGGGGGCTCACCAATTTTATGTTATGGATTGCGGCCATTAGGGGTTCACCAATTTTGTATTATGGGCTAAGCCATTAGTAACCCACCAATTTACATATTATGGGCTCGAAATCATTAGTTACTTGTCAATTTTGTGTTTATGGGCTTGACGGCGTTATCGGTTTGCCACCTTTTAAGTTTATGTGTTTATGGGCTTAAAATCGTTATCGATTCACCATCTTTTTTTATGTGTTTATGAGCTCGATGACATTAATGGCTCGCCATCTTTTCTACTTGTTTGTGGGCTTGAAGCCATTAGTGACTCACTAGTTTTTTTTTTTTTTTTTTTTTTTTGGGATTATGTTTATGGCCTTGCAACCATTTGTGGATCATCAATTTATGTTATGGAATTGAAGCCATTAGTAGCTCATCAATTTTATGTGTTGTAGACTTAAAGTCATTAATGGCTCGTCAATTTTGCATTATGGGCTTGAGGCCATTAATGACTCGCCAATTTTGTGTTATGGGCTCGTAGCCATTAATGACTTGCCAATTTTATCTATTTATGAGTTTGATCATTAGTGGCTTGCTAGTTAAAACGTGATTGTAGGCTTGACGACATTAGAGCTCGTTAATTTTTTATGTGTTATGGGCTTCACACCATTAGGGTTCATCATTTCTCGAACATTTTTTCTTTTATTTTAGAGTATGAAAAAGACATTTGAGTGGCCTAGGTCTCAAAGTATTCGATTGGCCTACTTCAATAAGATAAAAACAGTCAATTAGACATGGACTCATAGTATAATCAGATTAAATATTGACATTTAATATATATGCAATGCAGCTAATTTTATGTATTACATGGTAGCAGTGATTTCAATTTTTCCTATTGGTAACTAACTCCATACTTAAATTTTTATGTGGACCAGTCATTCGGATGTTTCTAATTTCTCCTATACTTGATAATGATTTTTTTTTAAATCCTTTATACTTCTGTAAGCATTCGCCAGACACCCGTCATCGTGTCTTCTACCCTGCGACATGGTCGATTCTCTTACAACTATCTTTTGGCTTACCATTCCATGCGCGGACCAATCGTTTTGAACCCGCAAAAAATATTATTTATACTTCCTCAGATCCTCTAACAATATTTCAACTATTTATTCTATCCATAACTTTGCCATCCTTCCTTGAAATTATGCCTCAGATCCTCTAACAATTATACCCCCCGGCCCAAAAATGTAATTTGCCACCTGTTGCATCCGAATCATCAATTTGATAAGTTAATCACAAAGTCCCCGATATATTGTGTATACTCTTAATGGGTGTTTGGAAAGTCTATAATTGGTGAGAAGCCAAATCAATTCTTGACTTTTAGGCAATTCTCTTGTTTGGAACAAAAACTTGATTCTGAAAATGAATTCATAATGTTTAAAATAGAAGATTTGAGATCGGACCCAAAATGGTGGGATTTGGTGATATTTCCATATACACGACCGTTGTAAAACTTCTATTAATAAAATGCCCACCATGAAACTTTAGTTCTGCCATCTTTTGGCAGTAGAAATAAATAAAAGGTCTGATTTCTTTTATCTTTCCAATTTAGTAAACACACGACTGTTCAAAGGAACAAACTTTGCAAAAGCCGAGGCAAGAAGGGAGTTTTGGAAAAGAAATTGGAGTCACCTTTGAGATAATAATAGTAGTTATATTAGTTTGAAAATTTTTGAATGGGGCATGAGTAGTTTGTGAAAAAGATTAAGGGATAATTACTAGAAAAACCTTATAAAAAAATCTTCTATCTAAAAAACCTATAAATTTATTTTTAAATCTCTCAAACTTAAAATAATATTTTTCTTACCAAAAGCACCTAATAATTAACACTACTGTTAACTATTAGTTGTTTTGGTAAGAAAAATATTGCTTTAAGCTTGTGAGATTTAAAAATAAAATAGCAAATTTTTTAGATTGAAGATTTTTTAGAAAGTATTTTGGTAATTATCCTTAATTTAAATGAAACCATTATCTTTCAAGATATGTATTTCTATCACGGATGATCATGTTTTATTTAATTAATACACTAAAATATGTTATACATTCATCTTGTAATTTAATTTAATTGTTTGATAAAAAATGTTGAGTTTTGATTAATTAAAAAATAGTATTACCGATGATTTTTTTTCCTATCAATATATTAGGATTTAAGAAATTACTAATGTTCATAATCATACATATTTTATTTTTCTTATTTGTTTGATAACTCTTTGATTAAATTACAAGAGAACGACAAGAGTCTCATTTCATCAATATTAATTAATTAAATTGCCTCGGTTGCTATAATTACTAGATAGTAAAATTAATATCGTAATTAATGAAACAAACGGTCGATAAAAAAAACTCTAATATGAGGAATTTTTTAGTATAATAATAATAAAAAAAAGTCAAATGTTAGTGTTTAAAAGTCAAGGAACTAATTAGAATCCCACTGCTTAAAAGATTTATTCCAAACGAAATAATTCTTTCATCAAATCGACTCAGTTCATATTTATTATTAAAATTCAATTTAATTCTACATACAAATTTCTCGTTATAAACAAGGTGTTAGAGTCATTTACTATCAAATTGGATCCCCTGGGCTTTTCTCTCCCCTTTTCGGTGACTTCGTGGGCTGGTCTCTTATCTTCTTGCCCCAAATCATTTTTTGGGCTTAACACAAAGTTCGAATATCCAATAAGAGCTTAACATGGTGAGTTCTCCAAAAATAAAGACGACAGAAGAAAAGAAGGTTCGAAAATTGGGTAAGAATAAATAAAATCCAGAAGAGGAGATATAGACGAGGGAAAGGAAACACAGTAGTCCCAGATTACATGATTAATATTCTGTATACTATTGAAGATAAAAGTGGGACCCAGAGCTTATATAATCATTTATTAAACCACAATCGTATTCAAAAAAAAATGTTAGTAATAAATTAAATTATAATTGGATAGTAGTCTTTGAAGAAGATTGTGCAGTGCTGACTCCTGCGTGGGTGATAGGTACCTGCAATTCACAGAAAAATGCCACACCTCTTATTCTCTTCAATCGAGGAGGGTTTTTCTTTTCTTTCTTCTTTCTTTCATAATTCATGGAGATCCCAATTAATCCTACTCATAATCAAAAATTATCTCTCCTCTCCATTTGCTAAAAAGTAGTTTGCTTTCTCCCTCCATAGTTTCTTCTTTAAAAAAGTTGGTTTCTTTCTCTCTCTAATAGCATTTTCATTTCTTTGCTCACTGAAACATCTCTCTCTTCTCTTCTCTTCTCTCCGACTCTCAATCCTTTAACTGTTCTAAATATAATAAACCAACAACCCAGGTTCTTTTTCTTTCTCTCCACTGTCTAAAGTTCTTTTCTTTTTGTTGGATATAAAAATGCTAACAGCATATTGGTAGTCCTATGAAGTTGCTTTTTTCTTCTTCTTTTTTTCCCCCTAACTGTTATGATCAAGATCTGAGCGTTGTGTAGATCATTGATCATTCACTTATCTTGTTATCATAATTTTCCCAGATCTAAGATTTCAATATAATCTTTTCTTTGGGTGGTTCGCTTTTTAGCTAATTGTGATCCTTAGTTTGGTGAGTTTCTCCTTGAATGTTTCTGGTGTCAAATTTGATTGTTGGCAGGGTTGATCTTTGTGGATATATATATTTTTTTTTCACTGGAGTTTTTGCAGTGGCAATTTGAGTGAGGATACTGTAAAAATGTATGGTCATAAATTAATTTAGTTGGTTGGGGTTGTCAGTCATTTTGTTGCTCAAGCAAAATATTTACAGTAAGAATTTGGCAATGTTGTAATGGTGGTGGGAGGGATCTCGTCATTTATGGTTCTATGATTGATTATTCACAGAGCTGGGTTTTAAATTTGGAAAAGATGAGCTAAGTGGAGCTGGTGTATGGAGTCTATCAATAACTGGAAATAAAATTGTTAATATTTCCAATCTCTTGGGATACAAAATGCAAAATGTTGGGTTTTCTTTTGTATTGTTTATTAATTTTATGTCCTCAAACTGCAATTTCTAATTAACGGATTCATTCATTGTTGCCTAGAAATAGAATGTCATATTGTAGTTGTTGCAGAAATCTAAGGATGGGGATTGGCTCCAACTTGACCTACCCTCTATAAAAGAAACAAAATGCTCATTAATTAATTTATTGCTTGCTAAGAAAGTGATAAAGGAACAGTAGTACCAGTAACCCAATTTAGAAAAAACAAAAATCCTGTTTGATACTCAAATATATATCCCAGATTTATGTTGTCCTTGATCTGGATTTTCTTTTAATTGATCTTTGCAGTGGCAATTCAAGTGATGATGCTGTAAAATTTTCAGTATAGATTAATTTATATCTTATAATATTTTTGGACAGTGTTAAGGTTTTTAGCGTGTAAGTGTTTGAAGGCTGGTTATATTATATAATTATTTATTGCTTGTGATTACTTTTCTAGCTGATTTGAGAAGCAAAGAGTTGCTCCTTCCTCTTCCCCCTTTTTTCTTTATTTTCATCTTTATTTTGCTCTAATAAAGTGCTTTTAACTGCAATTCCAGGGGCTTTGTGCGCTGAAAATTGCAGCATTACGGCCATGCTCAAGCAAATTCTAAGCAAAATTCCCCGCAAGTCCCCCAAAAACGATCCTTTGGATTCTGTTGGGATTGATTGTGGCAATAATTCTACTTACCTAGGCAATGGAATCCCATCTGCAAATAGTGGGAATTCTTTTTCTAGTCGGTTGAATGTTGTTAAAAGGGTATCTTCAGCAGTATTTCCTGCAAGCATCATGGCTGGAATGGAGGCAGTGGATCCCCATCTGTCCTTCAAAGATGTCTCAAATCTGCAGAAGCAAAACCTTTTTGTCAGCAAGTTAAACCTTTGTTGCGAGGTTTCTGATTGCAGTGATCCAGATAAAAATGCTGTCCAGCAAGATCTTAAACATCAAACGCTTATAGAGCTTGTTGATTTTGTTTCATCTGGATCTGCTAAGTTTACCGAACCGGCAATTGCTGCAATTTGTAAGATGTGTGCAATTCATCTGTTTAGAGTTTTTCCACCCAAGTATCGTACTGGTAACACAGGTGGGGAAACAGAAGATGAAGAGCCAATGTTTGATCCTGCTTGGTCACATTTGCAAAATGTGTATGATCTACTCCTTAGGTTTGTTAGTTCTGTTGATGCAAAGGCTGCAAAGAAGTATGTTGACCATGCTTTTATTTTGAGATTACTTGATCTTTTTGATTCTGAGGACCCAAGAGAAAGAGATTGTTTGAAAACAATTCTGCATAGGATTTATGGAAAGTTCATGGTACTTCGGCCTTTTATCCGAAAAGCTGTTAGCAATATCATCTATCATTTTGTCTTTGAAACTGAACGTCATAATGGAATTGCTGAGCTGTTGGAGATTTTTGGGAGCGTTATTAGTGGCTTTGCACTGCCATTGAAAGAGGAACACAAAATTTTTCTTTGGAGGGCTTTGGTTCCTCTGCACAAACCAAAATCAGTGGGTATTTATCACCAGCAACTAACATATTGTGTCGTACAGTTCATAGACAAGGATCCAAGGTTGACTAGTACTGTGATTAAGGGACTGTTGAAGTATTGGCCTGTGACTAACAGCCAGAAGGAATTGATGTTTATAAGTGAGCTAGAAGAAATATTAGAGTTGACTGGTATGGATGAGTTTCAAAAGATCATGGTCCCACTATTTCGACGAATAAGATGCTGCCTTAATAGCTCCCATTATCAGGTAAAGAACTTTTTAAAGGGATCATGCTTGTTAAATCTTGACTCAATTTTCATGCCATGTTTGCCGCAATTAAATTTTCATGTTTTCAATTGCATAGAACTAGCATGCTTGATAACTTGCATTAGGTAAAGAAGCTTGTGAAATCCTTTCAAGTAATGGGCATCGTGTCCAGGTCCCACCATTGAAGTCCAAATTTTGTGGTGATAAATCCTCTAACTGATGACCTTATTGAATTGTTTGTTAAATGAGCATTCTTAGTCTTATGCCTTACGGAGGACTCAAATCTCCACGCTCATTTGCACAATGGGGAATAAGGGTTTGTAGGATTAGCATTTGATTATTTAGTCAGTTATTTAAGGTTTATATTATTTCTTAAGAATTTTGTTACTTTATTATTTAAGTAGTTTTTATTACAAATCAAGTTATATTTTGTATTTAGTGGTTTTTCTATTCCTCGATGCATTTAGGTGTTCCTATTTTGTCATAGCTTTAGTGCCAATACAGAGCACCCTAGTTAAGATACCATTAAGATTGATTGATAGGATGAATGGAGCTTGCAAAGAGTTGTTTCTTTGTGTTTCTGTGTTTGCTTCATCGCTGCTTGTTTATGTGTATCAGAAAAATGTTTAAAGCTCTGCCACTGGTGTCTTTTACTTTAATGGTGGGTGTAATAGTGTACCGTTATATAACTAATTTAAAGAGAATGAAAAGTTAACCTGGTAGTTGATACCTTACATGTTTTGCATGTTTCAATAGGATTGAAAATGCTTTCAAGTTTATGGTATGAATGATTTTGACATTTGGACTCTGTTTGTGTTGCGGAAAATATTTTCCAAGATAATGTTTTTCCCCCTTTTCCAGTGCGAGACAAACACTGGAAAGTAAGTTAACGGAAATATTTTCCAATCAACCCCTCAATAGATTCTTTATAGGCAACATATCTGTAATTATTTATCGTTGTTTGTATGTGTGTTATGTGGAGACTGCAAAAGGAATTGTACTGAACCAGAGAGAAAAAATGCCGCATCAAAGGGGGAAAAACACACTGTTTTAGAACATTGGAATTTTCTGTATTAAATGAGGCATTCAAATCTGTGGAAATGTTTATAAGATATGTTATGGATTCGAATCTAGAGAACAATAATGACCTTATTTTCTCTTTTCCAGGTGGCTGAACGAGCTCACTTGCTATGGAACAATGAACGGATCCTTAATCTTATTGCACATAACCGTCATGTTATTGTGCCTCTTGTCTTCTCAGCTCTTGAGCAGAACACCCTGAATCACTGGAACCAAGCAGTACTTAATCAGACACAGCACATTAGGAAGATGTTCTGTGAGATGGATGAAGAACTAGTGCTAGCCTGCCAACGTAAGTTGGAGGAGCAAGACTCTATGTCAAGTGTGGTGGCTGAGAAGCGGAGATTGACTTGGGAGCGCCTGGAAAATGCTGCAGATTTCCAACCTAGAGCTGGTAATATTTTAGCTTCGGTAAAACCTGTCGCATGCTCTGTTACCTGCTAAGTGTTTGAGCGATGCCATTTGGGAACAAACAAAAAGAACATCTATATTAGCAGCTCCCATTGCAATATCGCAATATTGCAGTAGGGAGGAGTATGGGATGCTAATAGGATTGGTCTGTGCTAAGATGTATTATAGTTGTGTTATGTGGTAATGCAGCTGCCTCTGGAAGTTTGATTGCAAAATTGGGGAGATCAGTTGGAAGATTCCCATAGTGTGCATATGCATGTGTATTGACCCCTCTTATATGATTATCGAAGGGCTGTTTATTTGCCCCTATTTTATTCTTTAATGAGCTGTTTTTCCGTCATGTCAAAATGGAGACCCTGTTATCGTAAGCAATTGTAGGAAGCGTGCAAGCAAGACTACGCACGTTCTCTGGGACCTTTTGGTAACTTGAATGCTTTAGAGTTTTGTTTTAGAAAAGGGAAACCAGCAACTGCTACCAAAAAACAAGTCGAAAAAGTTCAAATCTCTTTTGAATTCTACTTCATTTGCAATCAATTTCTAAACTTTTAATTTCTGTTTTTAAGTTTCTGAAATTTATTTATTTTGAAATTTAGTCTGTTCTATAATTTTTAGTTATGATCTTTATCTTTTTAAAAAATTAATTCTTGGTATCTTGAAATGAATTTATGCACACATCGGGAGAAATCAATTCATTTTTTGGAAAAATTCTAAAGTTTTTCAAGATCCAAAAGTATAATTGCTTTTTTTTTTAACATTAAAATATAAAAAATTGAGAAAAATAAAAAATAATACGGAATGTCTCTAAAATTTTTGGAGAGCTTTAAATAAATTTTATAATTTTGAGTATGAACATATTTATGTAATTGTAAACTGAAGGATGGTAAAGCTCAAGAAGGTCAAACTTAAAATCAGAAATTTAGAAACTAAATTTTAAATAAATTAAAATTCAAGGAAGGTCTGGTCTTTTAAAAAAAAAAAAGAAAAAGAAAAATCCACTAACAAATTTCCCATTCAAGTTGTCTAACTTCATAATTCAAGAAAAAATGTGTGAGTGCTTATGAAAAAAATTATGTGAAAAAACTGTTGTATGTTTGGTTGGTCGTAAATGTGTGATTGCTTATGGAATAAAATTATATACAAGGATTGTGGTCTGTGTCCATAGGGTTCGGACGCAAGGGGAGTTGTCACTTAGCAGTCATGGGAATTAAAAAATCTTTAAACAAAATGGCCTACACAAATATCTAGATAAAAGAGTAGGTTTTGTACGAAAAAAATTAATATCACTATCATCTTATCTTACCTAATATAAGTTGCATTGTATGTATGTGAAAATTAAAGTCTGATCTTATTATATTATAATTTTATACCTCTTTGAATGAATTTATTTCATAGAGATAAATTGATTGAGTACTTTGAGGTTTAGGCTAATCAAAGGCTTATACCATACTTTAAGGGAAAAAAGGTGTAAAAATTGGAATTTTGGTTAACCCCTAGCCAGCTGCAAACTCTGTATCTTTAAATAGGCGAACCTCAAAGCATTTTAAGCCCATATAGATATAATTAGGCTACTAGCGAATTCTTCCATACAATAGGAAATCACCAACTGACTTCGATTCGCACAATTAGAGAGATGAGGAGGGTTGCCGATGACTTAGTCCATATAAGTGAAAAGCCACCGACTACTTTAATTAATGCAAAATAAAAAATCATTCAAATATAATAGCAAATAGAAGTCACAAAAAATAACAATTCTCTTGCGATTACAACTATATCAAAAATCATTCAAATCACCATAAAAGGCCGAGTCCTTTGCATCCGCAATCACATCATAAATTATTGAGATCAAATAAAAATGATGAGTTACTTGCAACTCATGACCATATCACAAATCATTCAAATCACCATAAAAGGACGAGTCCTTTGCGACTATAGTCATATTACAAAGCATTAAAATCGGATAGAAATGGCGGGTCCCTTACGATCGTAATCATATCACAAACCATTCAAATAAAATAACGAGTCTCTTACAATTGTAACCATATCACAAATCATTCAAATAAAATGACGAGTAACTACAGTCATATCACAAATCATATAAATAAAATGGCGAGCCCCTTGCAATTACAACCATATCACAAATCATTGAAATATAATGGTGAGTCATTTACAACTATAGACATATCATAAATTATATAAATAAAATGGCGAGTCTCTTATGACTACGGCTATATCACAAATCATTCAAATAAAATGATAAGTTTCTTATAGTTGCGAGTCATATCACAAATCATATAATAACTTAACCATTCGCATTTAATTCTTTAGAACATAAAAGCAATAAAATATATCATTATGCACACTAGGATCGACACTCGTCCCGAATAAACAATAGGAAGTAAAACTCATTCTCATTCCTTATAGCTCCATCGTGGAGCATTGAACACCAACCTCATTCCTCCTCAAAATACCCAAGGTTTTTGACTTTTTCGAATTTGATACATAAAGATGTATCTAATCAACACTTTAAATATCAACAACATAATCAAATATGCATTTTATATCCCATTCATCAAAAAATAATAACATACAAACAATTTACATAATTTTTCATTTAATAAATTAAACATGTATAATTAGTTTCAAAATTTACCCAAAACAAACTTTGTAAAGTATTGAGTTGTCAAAATTATTTTTAGGTCGGTTTTACTTTCTTTAACCCTAATAAAGATCTATTGTTTGGTCGACCAAGAGGAAAAGCTTTTTGGTATGGTCGTAGGTCCCATTACCGATGTGATGGCATGACTTGTCGTTTTGGTTGCTATTGCATGTAGTCGTGGATATTGTTGTATTGATAAAGGGTGGCTTTCACGGTTCGAATGGGCTATTAAAGTCACTACTATTTGTAGAAGTTGTTGAAACTATGGTCGGGTGGCTAGAAAGGCTATTAGAATAGTGGTTTATAGCCGTGAGCTACTCGTTAAAATGGTGGTGAATTGCTATTATGAAGGAGCAAAGTATTGTAGTAACCTACGATCGTGAAAAGCTACTTGAGTGGTAGCTTATGGATGTGAAAAGTCTGTTGGAGTGGTAGCTAGCAACAATGAAGCTATTGTAGCAATTAGAGAGGAAAAGTGAGCAAGCATCTGCGGGGTTGGTAATGGTAAGGAGGCTAAGTGTATTAGGTTAGCTTGGGTGTTTGTTTTAGTAGTGTAGTGGTGTTTAGATGATAAAGGTAGTGCTCGAGTGGTAGGAGTGGCTAGAATATGGTTGGTTTCTATCGAGTACTTCAATGGAGGCTTTGAGGATGATGGCTAGTTTTAATAATGGTTAGGGTTTGTTAGTGTGAGGATTTCGGTGAAGGAAAGACAATGGGGTGAGGTGTTGGTTGATAGCATAATCGGGTAGTGGTTGGCGAGAGAGGAAGGTTCGGCTAGTCGGGTTTTATTTTATTTTATTTTATTTTATTTATAGAAGATGAACAAATAACAACCTATATTAAAAATTAAGGGAAAAGGGATATTTATAGAGGGCTTAATTAAGGTTTGTGGAAAATGTTCAATTTTAGTCCTTGATTCCTCTACGTTTTCAATTTCGGTGCAAATCTCTTTGGTTTTCTTTCAATTTTCTCCCTAACTGAAATTACATAAGTCTTTTTCTTCTAATTTGTTTTTCAATTATGCCCTTTTTTACCTTTAAATAAGGTTATCAAATTTCAATTTTTTTAATTAAGTCCCTAATTGGATTTTCTTTGGTCCTAATTTCTCATATGTTTTTAATTAGACTCCTAAATTATTTTTTTAAAAAAAATTTATTCTCTTTTCTCTTCTTTTCATCTCTCTTTTTTGTATCTTTTTTTAACTTACAAAAATTTTGAAAATTAGATGAGGTAAAAATTAGGTGGTAACAATCATCTTTTCTTTACAATGTTTTTATTGCAAAGTCATTGGAAGGTCATTATTTAACTTTACATAGAAATTTTTGTAAAAAAATAAAAAAAATAAAAAAAAATGAAACAAACCAAGCAAAAGCAATTAAAAATTGAAAACACACCATTCTCTCGACATATTGTTTAGGACGACTTGCCTCCTATAGGTGATATAACCAAATGAAACGGAGAGGTTATCATTCAATATGAATTCATAACTTGTAAATTATATCCTTTTTTTTTCAAGAAACTTAAGTTGTTACATCCAAACCACACTTCCTCCCTTCCTCTCGGTTGAGTTTTTTCTTACCTAAAGTCAAAATGCATGGCTCACTACTTTTTTTAAGTTGGTTTGTTTGCTCATTTCATTGTCTTTGTTCATTATGGACCATCAAATTATGTTAACTTCATCGACTAGTGCTTTTGCAAAGTAGTGAACCCTTATTTCCTATCTTTAAGTTTTGCTACTTTTCATCTTTTAGGTTTGTTGCTTGTACAATTCTTTTTTACTTCATTAGAACTATTTGTAATGCTTCGTTATTCTTTTTTTTTTAGGAATTTTGATTATGAAGGACTTATCATCCTACAATCTTTGATAATCACCTTTATCATATAGTTCTTTGATGTTTTGTATTATTTATCATGTTTTTATAAATGACACTAATATATCATTACGTAGAGGACCAAAGAGGAAAGCTTTTAGAGATTGATCACATTTGAAAATAAGGCATTTTAAAAGTTGAAAAACCAAATATTTAATCGGGTAAGACAATCAAAGAAGTTAAGAAAAAAGAAAATGCTAACACATATAATGGATTGGCCAAAATTTTGATAAATATCTTTATTAATTGGAATAAAGAGAGTTACAATTCATATGTAATACTTCTTTATAACATCGGAATTAATTGATTTTAGCAATTCATCACCATCTATGTTTTATCGAATGAGAGCTCCACTTGAGAACGCCTTCTTTACCATATATGGACATTTATAGTTTGGTGCATATTTACTCCGAACTGCCCTTAGTATTTGCAGAACTTTCCTTGACATAACTTTTCCTTCTTAAAAATTCTTCGATGCACCTTTTTGTCATATCTTCTTGTTATTG